AAGGTCACACAGCTATAAAAGAGTGGATTTGAACCTAGACCATGTAACTCCAGAGTGTACACTCTCAACTACACATCACTGATCTCTACAGCAGAAAATGCCTTCCACAGTTGCGGTGACTTTTGGATAGAGGCAGCCTTACTCCTCTCATGGCACAGTGTTTGCTGATTATTAGTTGAATAAATGAATTTATTTATAGACTGTTTAGTATTCCACATATTACATTCATCCTCTAATTAACATTAGAATATTAGTAAATTCCTTCTCTGATGAGTATATATATTAAAATAAAGAATATTTTCATTTTCTGGTTCAAAGTATATAGAATGCCAATAAATAAAGCAGGAAAAAAATGAATAATCTTGCCAAGAAAATTCAGTCCTTTATTGGAATATTTATTAAAACCTGTTGTGCAACATGTACCGTAGCAGGCACTAAAGATAAACCACCATTCAAGTCATAATCCCCACCCTCAAGGACTTCCAGATCCACTGAGAAAAAAAAGAAAACGAATGATTATGATTTTAGATAGAAGGAGATTAGAAAAGACACAAAGGAGAGCACTGCAACACAGTCTGGGGCATCTGTCACAGCCTCGCAGGGAGATTACACACACATGCATATGCAGGGAGCTTCGTAACGCTTTATCTTTAAAAGAAAATGATATGGTATATTCACTTCAATGTCTCCTGCTTTTAAGATGAGGTATATTTTTACGTTAGGCATATTTTATCACAATCTTTTAAAAATGAATTTAAAAAGCAAGCTGTAAAAGGGTAAACACAGTGATTCCATTTATTTTTAAAAAGGATGTATATTTACATCATAATGGATATTATTAGTGCAAATTATACATAAATGCAAAAGGCAACGATACAATAAATTTCCATTTTTTTTCTCATCTTTCTTCTTTCACATAATTTCTGAAGAATGAAAACCATTATTACTTCCCACTATACCTGTAAAACCTGAAAACATTCCAATTAAAGTACAGTTCTGCTCCATAATGTCTTCACTCCAAGACAAAGGTGTGACAGAGTACAGGGTGACAAAGTAGCCTCTATCAGGAACATGACTTATCACCCATGCAAAGGGAAAGAAGCATGGCCAGCTCCACATGGGGCCAGAAGTAACACATTCATTTGTTCACATTTCACTGGCCAAAACTATCGCCAGGGGGATGGGGAAACATAATCTTCCCCCAGGAAGGGCCAGTGACAACATGGGCAATACAGTCTAGCGCGGCAGAGTCTCTTTTTCCTTCAACACACACCTGGGTGCCAGTGGTCACCTACTAGGGAGCTGCCTCTTTCTCCCCTGCACGCTCCTCCCCTATAACTAACTGCTCTATGTCCTCCCCCTTCAGGTCTTTGCTCAAATGTTACCTTTGCAATGAGGCCTTCCCTTCTCACCTCCTATTTCCCGTCCACTTTGTGGTTCCCCATACTTTCGAACATTCTGCCAAAACCAACAAGTATGTATACACACACACACATACACATTTACATACAGAGAGATATAAAGTGAACATGGCGAAAAATTAACAACTGATAAATCTAGGTGATTCATTCAATCTTTCTGCAGATTTGAAAATTCTCAGAATAAAAGGCTGAGGGAAAAATCAGCCCCACCAACATGGCTCATGTTTCCTCTAACTATGTTCAGCTACACACAGCAAGCACCGAGGTGGATTAGCCAGAGTTGCCAAGAGAGCATGAAGAAGTGAGAAAGAGGCAAGGCCACGAAGGGTGTGTACAAAGGGTGATTATAAAGACGCAGAAAAGAGGAGCCCTGGCAGCATTTGGAGTCCTGGTTCCAAGCTCTTCCTGAGACCCAGCTATCTTTCTGTCCCTGGATTCAGAAAGAGGACTCCTGTATCCTTAAAATAAATCCCAGTTTTTGCTTAAGCTCAGTAAGATGTTCTACTACTTACTGTGCGTATGCATATAAATACTTCAGTTCCCCAGAGACGCTATCAGCAATTTGTGCATGGAGCATCACTTTGCTTTTTTTCACTACTGTGTTATTAGGTTTTCAGGACTCAAATTCACTTACACTAACCGTATATGCATGCCATGACCGAATCCCAGAGAGTAATCCCAGAGAGTAATTCTGAAAATCCAGCGACATACAAATGACTATATGCCTGCTACCCGACTTGACTTTCTGCTTTAGGACAGGCAGGACAGGTGAGGGACAGAGGAGCACTGGCAGAGGTTGGGGGACTCCGTGGCAACACACACTGCTCAGGGAATGCTGAGCAGCTGATAAGGATGAGTGTGTACAGACATGGTGAGACACAAGGCAAGAAAGACAGGCTGGGACAAGCTCCTGGCAAGCTTTGAATACCATCGTAAGAAACTGAACTTGTTCATGAAGACAACGAAGAGGTTTTGAAGATTTAAGCAGGGGAGTTACTGGGTCAGATTTATCTTTTAACACTCCAGCTACCATGCGGAGAGTGGACTGAGGCAGGATACAAGCAAGCCTGAGGAATGGGGACGGGGAAGGGATGGCGCCAGAGGCAGTGAATGTGTGTGCTCAACAGAACTCAGTCATTGTTTAGAAGTGGGATGTGAGGAAGAATAGAGTCTGGATTTCAGACTCTTAAGTGGATGGTAAAATGGATGGTAAAATTCCCTAAAGTTTAGAGTAGGAGATTTCAAGAAGACGAGTTATGATTAGATTACTGAGTATGAGGTAGGGATGCCCAAACCTAAATGCCCTATAGAAAGCCAACAGTTGTTTTATTTACCATCATTATTTTCTTGTTCTAGGAAAGATTTAAAGTGATTAACAAAGAACGTATCAAATTTATTTTTAATTTAACTTAATCAAGCTAAAATCAAGCAGATAAGGAGATTAGGACAGAAGCAAAATGATGGTAGGAAAAATGAAAAAGCTGGGAGTGAGATCAGAACACCCACGCGTGCACAGCAACACGGTATGTAACTGGCAACGCGCCCCAGTGTCAGCAGATGCTTAATGCCAAGATAGGCTTCAGAGAAAGCAATTTTAGGGTGTTCCAAATGAAGAAATCCAAACACCACTTTGGTGGTGGCTTGATTTAAGGAGAGATTTTAGAGTACCTGGGGCAGGAGTTCGAAACCTGGGACCCATGAAGGCCAGAAGGACCTCCAATTTTCTTAAAGATTTTCAAGGTCCCTTACCCAAAAAAAGAAGAAAAAGATCACTCTACCAGGGAATGGATGGGCTGCACATCCTTCACTCAGTCCTCCATAAAAACTTGCTTTGAACAGAACTTGTGATAAGCACTGAACTGCAGTGAGTTTTTAGTGACCCTCCCATAGACACTCTGAAGCATGGCTATGCATGTTAAGTCCAGCTGGTTGAGAAGCCACGTGCTCTCATTGTCTCCAACGCAGGCGCAGCTATTGGGGTCTAGAGCTCAGACCCAAACTCCCCCAGGTGAGGGGGGTTGGGAGTCACCAGCATGGACATGGTAGTTAACTCCAGATACCAAAAGCGCAAAACTTGGCTATCTAGTTCACATACTTTTTTTTCGAGACAGAGTCTCACTCTGTCACCCCGGGTAGAGTACAGTGACATGATCATAGCTCACACCAACCTCAAACTCCTGGGCTCAAGAGATCCTCCTGCCTCAGCCTCCTGAGTAGCTGGGGCTATAGGCAACACCATGACAGCTGGCTAATTTTTCTATTTTTAGTAGAGACAGGGTCTCGCTCTTGCTCAGACTGGTCTCAAACTCCTGAGCTCAAGGGATCCTCCTGCCTTGGCCTTCCAGAGTGCTAGGATTACAGGCGTGAGCTACTGGGCCGGACCTAGTTCACATCCTTATCCGAGCACAGGGGGTGCTAAGCGAGTTTCTGGAGAATAAGTGAATGCCCAAGAACAGGGTATTCAATCAGTCACCTAATACATCTTGAAGGTATATTTTAGAATCCCTCCACTGCCTTGTTGTTCTGTGGCAGTGAAATGCCCCTTGCCTTGACCATATCCAAGTGTGTTTTTCTCTGTGTCTGACTTCTGAATCACGTTACAGTTGGCTGGCCCTGCCATGTGGGCTGGGGACTCATTTTGGGCATAATTGTACTAAATCTTTTTTTTTTTCCAGATCAGTACAATAGATGAGTTATATGCAATTTAAAACAAACTTGTTTTGCGCAATTACAGATACATGGCCGGTTGTTTGTTCCACTGTTCTGATATATCCCTTCCATGCTCCGCTACTGAAGGGTGGTTTAGAGTACTATAAATTCTACAAGTAAATGTGCTTTAGGTTTATATTATGCTTCATTTATGGCTCATTGTATTAAGAGGCAAAAATAAAAATAGGAAACAAAAGGTAGAAACAAAATCTTATCCAGAATCTCACCAGGGATTCTAAAATACATAGCGAGATGAACCCCGGCCCCTTAGAAGTCAAGGTGCTTATCCTGCACTGCTGTGAGGAATGGCTTATTTTCTGATGATCACATATAGGACAATTTAACAGCCACTAGAACCGCCAGAAAGGTTTTTGATTTGTTTTGGTAAAAGTAAATGCAACATATAAACATTCAGGATTGATCCCAACTTTTTGCAGCCAGCTCCTCTGGGGTCAGGGAGGAAATACAGGCATGTACCACATAATGACATTTGAGTCAATGACGGACCACATATACCACGGTGGTCCCTTAAGATTACAGTACCTTATTTTTACTGTACCTTTTATATGTTTAGATGCACAAATACTCACCATTGTGCTATAATTGCCTACAGTGTTCAGTGCAGTGACCTGCTGTGCAGGTCTGTGGCCAAGGAGCAATAGGCTATGGCATATAGCCTAGGTGGGTAGCAGGTGCTACCATCTAGGTTTGTGTAAGTACATCGTAAGATGTTCAAACAGAGCCACACTTCTCAGAATGGATCCCTGTCAGAATAGATCCCTGTCATTAAGTGATGCATGACTGCAGCTGTCTATTTTTCATCAGTAGGCAGGTCACATTCATCTTCCACTGGGATGGCCAGATGCCCACCTTTCCGCCATCCCTCCTGAATAGTACAGGACTGGCTCCCAGGATACAAACGGGCTCTCCTGCTTCTCATAGGTCATGCCTAGCATGGTTCCTCCCTCTCCTCCACTCAAGCAGGTCCTTAGTAAACAAGTAAACAAAGCACTAGCAAAGCCCCCAGACTTACTACCTCTCAACTCTCTTGGACAAGTGGAGCCTTCCCTCGGCTTAGACTGAGGACCTAGGCCCTAGGGTGCTGTTCCGACTAGATCGTGTGAAAGGAGTGGAGACAAAATGGCGAAAATGAAAATGGGAGCCAGCAGCTCCTCTCTACAAGTCCAGATGCCCACAGCTGTGGTCCGTGTGACACGTGGACTGCTGTCACACTGGGAGGAGGTGTAGAGGAATGGGACGGGCAGGGAGGGTGTTCCTTGGGACGGGGGTTGGGCTCGCACAACTTCACTTCTTGGCCTCACCCTGGGCAGCCCCGTTTCCATGGCTTTATGCATGGTCTTCACCTCCCAGGAACGGCATGAGCTTGATGGGCTTCAGGTGCTTGTCACAGACAGTGGGAACGCCAGTGGGCAGGTTCAGCTCCATGAAGGCCCCTTCAGAGAGACCCTGCAGAGACTCAACCACGCCAAGAAAGCTGCCGCCATGGGCTACGACCAGTGCCGGTCCCCCTCCTGGATCTGGGGAATTATCTCGCTGCTCCAAAAGGGCAGAGCTCTGGCAATGGCTCCTTCAGACTGTCACAGGAGGCCAGCTGATCTACAGTGAGGTCTGCGCACCTGGGACCCTTACTGATGCTGCTTACAAGGGATGGTCTGCTCCAGGGGAGCCCTCCGGATCTTTGGCAGCAGTTTCTGCTTTGCTGAGGCCAGTCAGACCCCACGGGGCCACTCACTGCGCCCAGTGTTCACCGGCAGCCACATCTGCTTAACGGCATCCAGCTCCGTCCAGAGGGTCGGGACGGCTGTGTTCTGCCCTGAGGGGAGGGAGATGTCAAACTCACAGCCCCGCATCTCAGCACCTGCCCACTTGCTCCACCTCCTCCTGCCCCACTGGGCTTAGGTCGGTGTCAGGCCCACCACTGAAGCAGTTCTCCAGGTGCCAGGCGCCCTCTTCCTGCTTGAAGCGCCCAAAGCGCTCAGGATGCAGCACTGACTGTGGTCACCAAGGGTCACTGAGATTCCAGAGTCCTCGCTGCCCAGCTCCCCATCACCCACCACCGGCCCCTGCGCACTTTCTCCAACACAAGTTTTAACACGCAGAAACGTAACAGCTGAACGAGCCCCACTTCCCTATGTTCACACACAAGAAGAGGACCAAGCCCACCAAGCAACTGAGAAATGTTACAGGATATACATGACACAGCAGAAAGAGACAAGGGTGGAAGAGCACTGTCACTGTGCAATCTCAGCTTTCAAATCATTTTCTGCTTTACTTTTCAAGTTTACTTTTCACTCAACTCAAAAATGCTTACTAGAAAGTTACAAAAAGTCTGATTTCTCTACCACATTTCTTCTCCGAAGGATATCACGGCCATGTCCAACACTTACCCTCAAATCGAAACCTTACAGCATCTAGTGCTTTTACCCAAGCACACCCCGCTCCAACCCACACGTGTCACCTACAGCAGCAGGACTATCATCTCGGCTCCTGGCCTCAGCCCAGTGTACTCTCTGCACTCGATTTTAATTGTAACAGAGCCACTCTCATCCTCAACAGAGTCCTGCTGTGGGGACATGGCCATTATAAGGTTGCCCCGTACCTGACAGTCCTGTGTCCCTCTGTGCCAGGCGTTCCCTCTACTCTCATCCCTCTTTACCTACACACCCTCCGTTGCCTACCACGCTTCCCCTCCCCGCAAAAGGAATGCAGATAAGGCAAATCATCTCACTCTTCCACGGGTACTTTCGTAGCTGAATAAATCTCTCAAAAATAAAGCACAAAATTCTTACAAAGCCCAAGTTCTAGAAACCATTAGCAAAATACACAATTTTCAAACTGGTTATCTTCTGAATTCTTACGGCCTTGGCTGCACTTACCACAGGACACTCACGCCTTCCTACCAGCCTAACCATCAACCTGGCAGTCTGGCCCATGACAGAGAAACGGTTTTATTATCAGTAGATATGTAAACTGTATTTTCTTAAGGAGAAGAAAAGGTTGTGGCCCTTTAATTCTCCAATGCCAGGCAGCAACAACATCTTTTTAAATTATGAGTTTTATAAACTACAACAAAAATTATTAATTATGCTTTTTGTATCTAATCGATAATATGGAGAACACTGAGTATGTCTGACCAGCTTCGGCCAGCTGGTGAGGGACAAGAACCAAAGGCACAAGCCTGCCGAATTACCAAAAGTACTTTCTTAAGTCTCTCATGACACTTAAAATATTAATTAATATTATTACTTCAAATTAGAATAAGTAGCTTATCATAATAAAGACTCTATCAACATTTGACATTAGAGTAATTTTATTAAAAAAAAAAGCACTCCACGTGAAAGTGAAGCAAGGGCCACGTGCAGTGGGCGAGAGCAGTGGTGCTCCATGCTCCATCTTCCAAAGTCCTCTGCACAATGAGCAATCGTGCGGCTAGCTCTGGCCACGACCCAGCTGCACCTGTCTCCAGCTGGGTTACCTCTCTGAGCCTCAATTTCCCCACTTGTAAGAATGTGATAAAATAAATACTACTTACCTTGCAACACAGTTGTCAGAAATAAAGGTAATGCGACGCACTACCTAAGTTAGCATCTATTTGTAAGTCTATAGTCTACCTACACCCAGTACAACACAAGCTCCAAGAGAGCAGGGATTTGGTCAATTTTATTCACTGCTACATCCCCAGCAACTAGAACAGTGTCTAACTCCCAGAAAGCACTTGGTAAATATTTGCTAAACAAATGAAAAGTGTCCGCCTATCACACAGTAAATAGTCTTTTTTTAAAAATAATTTCAGCCTGCTAGTTTTTTCCATCCTTTTGCTCTTTAAATCCTTTTAGGCTCAAGACAGTTTTCCCTTTGTTTAGGGTTGTTTCACTTAATATGAATATGTAACAAAACTACTAAAAAGTATCTCACATTTGTTAGCTAACTGTGAAATTAGCAGGACAAACTAAAGCATCAAGAACCTAAATCTGCCAAATATTACATGGCAGAGAAACATCCTTAGAATAGGATAATTTTTACTGCATCTTGTCTTTAAAAAATGGGCCAGGCACAGTGGCTCGTTCCTGTAATCCTAATACTTTGGGAGGCTGAGGTGAGAGGATCGCTTGAGGCCAGGAGTTCAAGACCAGCCTGGACAACATAGTGAGACCCCATCTCTACAAAATTTTTTTTAAAAGTTAGTTGGGTGTGTTGGCACATGCTTGTAGTCCCAGCTAGTCGGGAGGCAGAGGTAAGAGGAGCCCAGGAGTTTGAGGGCACAGTGAGGAATTGGCTGATGTGATTATGAAGGCTGGTAAATCCAAAATCTGCAAGGGGTAGGCCAGCAGGCTGGAGATCTACAGAAGAGCAGATGCTGCAGTTCAAGTCTGAAGGCGGTCTGCTGCTGGCTAAATTCCTTCTTGCTCAGGGGAGGTCAGTCTTCGTTCTACTAAGGCCTTCAAGTGGTTGGATGAGGCCCACCCACATCGCAGAGGGGAATCTGCTGTATTCAGAGTCTACCAATCAAACACTAATCTCATCCAAAAACATCCTTACAGAAATACCAAGAATAATGTTTGGCCACATACATAGGCACTGTGGCCCAGCCAAGTTGACATATAAAATTAACCATCACAGACTTGGATATATATATAAAAGTTATTGCTGGGGGTGGTGGCTCATGCCTATAATCCTAGCACTTTGGGAGGTCGAGGCAGGAGGATCGAGATGAAGCAGTAGAGAGAGACTCTGTCTCAAAAAAAGAAAAAAATTTTCTTGCAGCTGCATCTTTATGTCAGTTATGGCCAAAAATATTCCAAGGCATAGAAAAGGATGGTATGGTCTCTGTTCTCATCTGTGATCCCACTTGGTTTAACAGACAAGATGAACCTAGACAAGACCAAGCATCAGCTACTTCTAACACCATTCCATAAAACTGATTCTGGTAACTTAAAAGCCCCAAGTGAAACAGACAGTATTAAAAAATTAAAAAGAATTTTCAAAAAATCCAGCTATTTGGAAAGAGTTTTTTAAACTCTGACTCACAGAATAATTATTGTTGAAACTAAAGGGCAAATTATCCTGGGGCAGAAGTCTTGTATTTTCTCTAATCTCAACCAGAGATCTATATTCATAAAATACTTTAAAGCCAATATTCCAGCAGATCTACACCTCAGCGTTAGAGAAAGTGGCTCTTTCAAAAAGAGAAAGTACTGTACTGACTTCTGGCCACTATGTGACCATCAAATCCTTGGCATGAATAAAGGTTTCCTTCCTAACTCGGGTCATTAATGTTGAGATTCCTCTTACAGCTTAAGCATCATCCCTCAGTTAAGGCCAACATTTTCACACAACTATCACAGCTCAGTATAGCTGAAAGTGCTTTGCTACTTTACTTGTATGCATTAACATCAAAAAAGATGAAGAACTACCCTACAGGACACTTTCACAAGCATTTTTTCCAACTGGCATTCACTAAAATTCTCCCACTCACAAGCCGCTCTAATCATAACATTTCAAGCCTAAAGACTGCTTTATTCATATTTCCCTAGACGAGAAATCGCTAAACTGTTTTAGCACAAGGACATTTGTACAAAGTAAAAATGAACAAACAAAAGCCCTTGCAGACCACCACCCATCTGCCCCAAGTTGTCCTTGAAGAAGAAAAAAATTGGTACTACTTTTTGATAAAACTCCACTGAAATGATGCCTGATCTATATTTATCATAAGATTAATTAATGTAAAAGTAAAGAGTGAATTGTTTGCCAAATACAAATACATATATGCTGTTACATGTTAGTATCCTAAAACAAAAATGGCATAACCAAGACTAAACATAAGTGATGCTTAAAATAAACTCAGAGGGGCTATAAATTTTTTGGCAGTATAGGATAACTCTTAATGTTTTTTAATTGACTCACAAAACACTTACTGCTGAAATTA